GAAGGGTAAGTAAAGGCAACAATTGGGCTTACAAAATCAATCGGAATTCTTTCGAGGATTACAAGGACATTAGGACGTTGATAGTATTGTCATTGAAGTCATTTATCTCAACTCTTGGAGGGCATTTGATGCTCGCCACTTTGCAAGAGATGTGTGATTCAATGAAAGTTATTGGTATAAGAGGGGAGGTTTTAAGATGAGCAATTGATTAGCTGAGTAATAAACTAAGGTAGATGGAGATAAGTGGCAGTTTTCAGCAGGCTTTTGAATCGTCTAAAAAGATCAGTGCTATGATTCATTGAGGTGTGGTACAGGAAATAGCCATGAACTGAAATAAGCCTCAAATCCACCTTTCCAGTAAAATCCTACCCCAGTGCAATGAAAAACTAGTCGTTCGTGAGAGAAGCAAGGGCCGAGAGAAAACTGGAGCAGGAAAATTCGTGTAAAAGGATGGTGTTATTTCCCAACTGTGGTTGTGTTGTGCAGCTCATGGACAGAAATTGGCCATTTTTAAGTTAAATTCAAAGCAGTCTGGGGAATCAAGGACCATCAATTTTCTTAAATATCTTTGAAAAACCAAGGGAGGTTTGTTGTCACGATGAAGAATTTTAAAATGCTACTCGCCTAAAATATTCCCAGTGTCTTCTTGGCATATGTTGCCACCGGTGACAAATCCATATCATAAAACTCATCGCATAACTTATATTGCTATTGCAGACCACCAGATTAGAAGCTGTTAAGTATGTACTACTCATACTCGTCCAGTGTTGGCACTAAAACCATCATATCTCCTGCAGATAAGAGGCTAACAAGGCTGGCCCAGAATTAGTAATCCACAATCAATGCCATTTAAACACATGGCTGGAACTCAGACCTACACATATACAGCAGTGAGGATCAATAAATAATATATAATATCCTTGCATTTGATTTAGCATTTATCACATCTTCGAGACGTCTCAAAGGGCTTCACAGAAATATACTGTAGCACTTTTTTGAAGGGAATATTACTCCCGGAAAAGCCAATTGACGAACAATCAGGTTCCTACTTCTTGCTAGGTAAACAGAGGCGTGTGGAGTAAGGAAACTTGGCCAATGTTTTGCCCTGCCCCTAATTTTAGTGATAGAGATCATTTTATTTATGCTTCTGTCAACTTTACCATTGATGCCATTGCCAATTGTGCATATCAGTGCATGAAATCAACAATCAATTTGACAGCATGATGTGTCTGGAAACGCTACTATTTGCATCCATCAATTCTGCTGTCGCTGAGTTTTGGTCAGAACGATGAAGAAATGGAGCTTCTACAGTTCTGAGGGTTAGTAAAGTAGCATTTCTGGCATCAGCATCAAATAGAATCATACGTTCAGACAGTGAATGACTCAATACCCACTTGTTATCAGGGAATGTGATACAGAGCTGGAGGGGTATCACAAATCTTTGTCAGGTCTTGACGGCTTTGCCCAACAATGCTTATCTTCTGCATGAATCAAGTTCACTTAGTGACGGCAACTACTTGTTAACCTCCAAATTTGTTCGGTGGCTTTGCACATAAACGGGTCCAGATTCGAAAAAGAGCTGTGGGCCATAATAGATTACAAGGGAGGTTTGGGTGGAAAAGCCCTTTGGCCCATTTCAGCTCATCCTTCCAGAATATTCACCCACCCTCCCGTCTTTCCCATTGCGACATTGAGCTGTTTCTGAGTATTTTAATTTTCTGCAGCTTTTGGTTTGGGTGATGCACAACCCAATATCTTTTTTGTCCAACTGATTCAATTTTAAGATTTTTTTTTCATTTTCATAAAGCACTGGTTTCATGGCTCATGATTATTAATTTAAATTTGTCAATTTATGTTTTTGCTAAAATGAACTACAAGCAGCAACAGTAATGTTGTTAATTGAGACCCAGCGAGGCAGAGGAAAGATGATGAGAGTTTAGAGAATAACAGTGACATGAGAGCAACGATGGACAAAATTATTTCTCCTTTGAGCACATCTATAAAACGATCAAAGGATGTGAAAAAAGACAGGTTGAGTGTCACGTTTTGAGCATCTCTCCTATTTTTATATAATTTGGAGAGGGATTTTGGAGTTGGAGCACAAACACACTTAAGGATCGATCAGAATAGAATCTTAAAAGTTTATAATTTAATACTTCAAATCTTTCACTTGGATGCACACATTGTTAACTCTAAAAACTGAAAGGTGCATAGGGTTTTATTCTTACAAAGGCTCAACCCTCAAATGGAAAATTGCAGCTCTTGTTAGTGTATGTACTATATTTTATTGTTTTCACCCTCAACTACCGATCCAAATGAATAACACATGAACACTTTGTGCAATGAAGTCACGAGCACGTTAGATCAAGTTGAAATCACTGGTTCTGGTACCTATTTGCCATCCTATTTATGTAATGAAAGTGTTGAGAAATGTCCGGACTTTCAATGAATTGAAAAGGCTTTTTGACTAGTATTATTTTTAAGTTCAATTCTCCTTTTTCCCCAACAGAAGTAAAGGCAGCCTGACAGCTATGACCTATGCAGTTCAATAACTGCCTTGGGTATATATTTGCTGACCCTGAAAACATTTTATCACACATGCCACAAAGCTCTATCATTAGACAATTGCAATGAATAATACTGCAATGCTGTTTTGCCCATTTGATATCTGGTGCCCAGGCAATTTTTTGTTTCCTTTTGACACAATGATTGGATTTACACACCTCGTCCTACTTTGGGCTGGTATGGAATTGGGTTTTAGCGCTCATTGCAAATTCATGGCGATGCTCGGAGATATTGCAAATGCTCTCCGAATAGAAGCAACATGGGCAAGGTGCTTTACAGTAAATGTTAACCCTCAGAACGACATCAAGTACAGAGAATTCCATTCTCCCAGCCCTGACCATTGCTTTCAGCTCACAAACTACTGCAAAATCAAGCTCACGGGCGAGAAATTATACCCAGTCTTAGTTGTTGTAATTTTTTGTCTTAAAATTTAAGATGATGCAAATCTGTGGCAAATTCTACATACTTTTTCTGTAACTATTTTCCCCAGTTCGGCACCCTCTTCAATATTAAGGCAAAACAAAATCTTAAGGCTAAGACTTGGCAGAACTTCAGGAAACGAAAATGAAGATGGTTATATCACAGGTGCAATTAGTCAAACATTTGATACATGTTAAGATGTCAAATCAAGGCAGGTTTGTGACTTGCTGAGTTATGGTGTGGTCAGCACACCCATTGCAGCCCAGCACTAACAGCGCTCTGTGTGACTGTGTGTTCTTCCACTTTCTGAGAGTGACGGGAGGGGAAAGAAACAATACACAGTGCCTGCGTCAGACAGGAAAATAAAAGGGTGCACCAGTCAATAAAACTGTTTCTCTAGCCATTTATTTACTTCAATTTCTTTTAGATATGTTTTATTGAATTGACACAGGAAATCCTCCTCCTCTCCACATCCTAGTAGCGACACACAGACTGAGCTTTGTAAAGACTCAATCTGACAACTGGAGGAGTGCTTCACAAGACTCCAAGGAAATAATAAAGTACCGACATGCATTGTAGTTCCTCTGAAATACAGTGATTGAAAAACAAATAAAACCAGTGTGATATTTGCGTGCTGAATTGGCATAAGGTACAATAGGTTAAAGTGGAATATCTTTCATAGCGTATGGGTTATCCAGGAATGCCATCGTCCTCTATTAGATGCTCTCAACCTCTCTATAAAATACAGTACTGTACTTTCCATTGATAGACAGGAATTTTTAACTCTTTAAGCACCATGGGTACACTTCCTATCTGGGATCTGGTATATTTCCCTATAACCCAAAGGCATTCCCAGATAGTATAACAATAATACTGATAGATATGTGAGAAGCATATAGAGTAGGCTATTTAGCACCTCGAGCCTGTTCCGCCGTTCTATAAGATAATAATAATAATAATCCTTGCATTTGATATAGCGCTTTTCACATCTTCTCGACGTCTCAAAGCGCTTCACAGAATAGGCTGTAAAGTGAATTGACCGTATATTTGTGGTCAAAACGCGGCAGCGAATTGCGCACAGCAGTGTCCCACAAACAGTCGTGGATTGAAAATGACCAATTTATTATTGTTTTGTTTTTGGAGGGATTATTATTAGGCTCTGTGTGGAGTAAGGAAACTTGCCCGAGGTTTCACCCTCTGCCTGGAATTGAACTCAGGTCTCTCACTTGCAAAGCGAGTGCTCTAACCACTGAGCTACAGGACTCTGCTCTAGCCACTGAGCTGCAGATCATAGCTGATTTGTACCTTAAGTCCAATTACTCGCCCATGCCCCATATCCCTCAATACCGTGACTTAACAAATATCTATCCACCTCCATCCTGAAGATGTGGATGGATCCAGCATCTACAGCCTTTTTGCGGAGAGAGTTCCAGATTTTCACTATCCTTTGGGTGAAAAACTGCCTCCTGATTTCACTCTTAATTGGCTTAGCACTAATTTTAAGAATATGCCCTCTTGTTCTGGATTCTCCGACCAGAGGAAATAGTTTCTCTGTATCTACTCCATCGAATCCTTCCATTATTTTAAAAATTCTAAGCAGCCACAAGCTTCCAAGAATGGAAGCCAGTTGCCATTTTCATTCAGCAGATTGCAACAGAATCATAATATTACAATATAAGCAAGGCCAATTAACAGTGCACCATAGACTGCGATATTTCAAGTCAATCTTGATGATACAGTGGAACATAATGTGTATAACGTAGTAAACATTAAACAGATGTAATAATCCTTTTTGTACAGCATCTATAATGTCAGAATGTCTCAGCGCTTCACAGTTAATTGCTGTTAAGTGCAATGATTGTGCATTTATTGGTAAACAGGGGAGTGCCTTTGTGCACAGGGAGATCCCACAAAGTAAATGACCAATGTGTCTGGAGGGACACAAAGTGGGGCAAATTCCCTTCTCTTTTTGAATGCTACAGATCGTGTTATGTCTTTTTTTGTTTGTTTTACAGTTAATGACACAGATGAAATTGGATCGCTGAAAGCAATAAATATTACAAACTCTACGGTGACAAAGCTGACTGTGTCAGACCTGGACACCAGCAGCAAATACAAGTTCTATTTGAGCGCTTGCACCAAGGCAGGACCTGGGAAACTTATCACGGAGGAAGGGATAACTGTCATGGAAGGAGGTAAGGCAATCATTTTTGTAACGTGGAATCTACATTAACTGTATACGCCTGTGTTGTAATTCAAAGCATCATTGGATCGTTGGACTATTCTGGGGTACGGTACATGAAATGCGAAATCTTCCTGCACAATTTACAATAACAAAAGTGCGAGACTTTGCCTTTTCTACAAAGCGCAGACGAAACGGTAACTTATTTCATTTCCGTTGCATCCAACTGCTCTGCAAGGTGCTTCACGCCTTTTTAAAAAAAAATAGTGAATGAAATATAAAGGGAGAAGAGCGGTAAGCTTAAATTGTGAATGGCGTACCGAGTGTACCATTGCTCTGTTTAAATTCCAAATTGTAAGCTACCTTTTTTTGAGGTATCATTGTATTTGATATTTTTCGAATTCCACAGGGTCTTAATTCGTTTGGATTGGCAAAAAGATTTGTAAATAGCAAATCCTGCTGAGCCATGGCTCACATGTTAATTTTGCTGAGTTCGTAACTGAGATCAGTGTCTGAACACATCCCAGAGAATGTTCCACTGTCCGCCCGCACGCCACACATCTGGGAATTTGCTATTTGCACATCCTTTCATGAATCCCACAGTTTAGACTACCTTTGGGCCATCACAGCACTTGTGAAGTGTGGCTGATCCTATCCGGGCTCAAAGCCTACATGACAGCCTCTGATCTTTGAACAGCAATAGCGAAACGCAATCAGGTTCGGTTACCGCTCAAGAAAGGAAGCTGCTTTAGGATGAAATGTTTGGCTGTGCAGGAGAACAAAATATTATTGAATTTTTATTAAATGGCAACTCTGTTCTTACACATGGTAGGAAAGAAATGGCTTGGTGGGCAGTACAAGATAATTAAATGTCACGTTCAAGCAGTGTAAATTGCTTTGTGGTTGTAATTTTAACTTGCATTCTGTGGTACATTGAATGCTTTTTAAATTAGTTTTGTACTAAGCCATCATTAAATTACAACAGATGCTTTAAAGAGACTATTATGATGAAACATGGATGTCTCCTGTACCTTCAGCGGACAATTAGATGTGCAGGAGAGAAAAAAGTTTCTTGGCTGCGTTTCCCTCAGAAACCCTAGTTTGTTTCAAAATCTTTTCATTATGGAACAAAAGGCGAAGTGCACTTTTATATAAATAAGATGAGAATTTGATTGTAAGAGTTATAACATTTTGCTAACTATGGCTTGGGTATATTAAGAGAACACAGCAGAGCAAGGCTGGCCACGTAATCATTAAAATGAAGGACAACATGCAAGCAGACTTGAGAAGAATATTCTCAATTAATTACTGAATAGAGAATTTCTGCCTTCCCATTTTCGTCTGATTATAGCCCGCTTCTGGCATTGTCATTTACTATGCATCTCTGTTAAATTATCCAGACCAAACATTCAAATCTTACTGTTTGAACTCTCATTCCTTTGTGCCAACCAGCCAATTTAAAGCAGCTTATGTGAACAAAGCTCATTTCAGGTACTTCACTGGAAGTTTGGGTGTCTGTGAAGTGTCTTATTTAGTAAAATTCAGAAATCTGGAAGAAATGAAAAGATGTGCCAAGTTTATAAGCTAGTTATTTTTTATTGAATCATACTCTTCCCGTTGCCATTTATTCAAGAACAAGCGCGAATACTCCCCCGTGCCTTCAAATGCAGAAAATAGATGCACATCTTATCATAAAAGGTGATCTAAGATGTCATTTTCATGCAATTGCCACTGTCCTTGTTAATAAGAGTTGGCTGCTGTGTTTTTGTGTTGAAAGCTTTCAACCAACGACCATGATTTCTTGGTTCATTTAAAAGTGAACGTAAAACATTTGCTACGTTTTTATCATCTGTGCTACAGTCCCATAAATTCCACTGACGATTTTATTCCCACCTTCAGTGCCGAAGAAATAGTGCCAGGCAATTTTTGGAATAAATGGCACTGAATATTCTTGCGGAGAATTTTAAAGATTAAGCTCTCATTCTGTACAAATAAATGTCAGACCCAAGACAAATCCATTATTTAAAATGCTAAATCATTTCAAAGTAATAAATAGAAATTATGCGAGTGGGTGTCCTTGCCTGCGCACTAAATTCTCTAAAGTTTAAAAGACAGGGCCACAAGTGATTTTCGGTTAATAGATCTGAACCAACTGACCTTGGAGCATCTATTGCCTTTCGTTTAAAATTAACCAAATGTCAACAAACTCCAAGGCAAGCAAAACAAAAGCAGGAGATTGATTATTTAACAATTATTTCAAAGGATGACCTTCTAGGTAGCCTGTGAACTGTGGAGCAGGTTTATATTATTCAGTGCTAAAACCCACACAGCAGCACTCCAAATACATTAAATCGCGCAACTCCCACCTTCGCTTTGTTGGCGGTCTGCAACCGTGATCACTTCATCTGACAAGTTTGCCGTCCAAGTTATGTTGTCGAAGTGAAGTGAATTGAGACAATGTAAGAAAAAAGGGTAGGCGGTGCGGTTTTTCAGGAGGTCAGCTTTGCGGCAACCTTTCTTGATAAAGAAATGCCGCAAGATTGACCTGGTTCGAATTATGTTCGAAGTTAATAAATCCAAGTGGTGATTCCTTTGTGGAAATCAGACGTCCATCACCCTATCTCGAGGGTGCCCTGTTCAGAAGATACAGAAGATAGATAATAATAATAATAATAATAATAATAATAATAATAATAATAATCCTTGCATTTGATATAGAGCCTTATCACGTCTTCAAGACGTCTCAAAGCGCTTCACAGAATATACTGTAAAGTGAACTGACTGTATATTTTGTGAGCGAAACGTGGCAGCCAATTGCGCAGAGAAGCGTCTCACAAACAGTCGTGGATTGAGTGACCAATTAATTATCATAATAGATCGAGTTGGAATGGGCTTCCTCTTGAGTCCGTATTTTGACTTCAATTCTTAATTAAGAAATCGTATTGACTTCTTAATTAATTTCTCAAGGTTGATTCTTTTCTGACAATTTGGTTGAAACGAGACCCAGCTGTACTGCTCCCTACACGCCACTGAACTTCATCCTCTCATTTCCTTTGCATCTGCTCCACTTGATCTTGTCACTGGTCTTTCTTGGCCTGATAAGCAAACAGGAGCAGTGGTAAATATCACTATTATTAATTCATAGCACTGTTGTCAGTTCAGAAAATGCACGAATCCATCGGCCAAATAATACAGGGCAACGCAAAGAAGCATGGAACTCAATGTCAACAACAACAGCGGCAACAAATTACATTTGTTTAGCACCTTTCACGTCAGGAGGATGTCCCAAGGTGCTGGACAGTCAGGATCTGCACCAGAACTGGTGGTTGGGATCGGGAGGGGTGGCGCGGGGAGGGTAGGGGTAGGAGGGTGACCGAAGGCACGGTCGAACAGGAGGGTCTTGAAGCGAGGCATGGGAACGGGCAAGGCGGAGGGACTGTGGTATGGAGCTCCAGAGGGTGGGGGCATAGAGGCATCAAAAAGATGGAGCCAGCAGTATCACTGTTCAAGGGCAGTCTAGCCTTACTGAGCACAAAACAGTCAAGAAAGTGCTGCAGATTGAAGACTGTAATGGGGAAGCTCGTTCATTGCAAATGTGTCAAGAGAATGTGCTGGGAGGTAAAAGTACAACTTAATAAGATTAAAACTCTCCCGTTCAGCCGGTTAGGACGTGACTAAATGTTTTGGGCTTCGCTGTAGTCCGAGACAAAGCTAATATCATAAAAATGAAGGATAAACACCGAGTTCAGAGGAAGCAGAAGGTCCTTACAATCGAATATCATTAACATTTAGGGTTCAAGAGCGGTTGAAGAGTAAAAGAAGATTGGCCTTGGTAGTGTCGCCTTGGTAACGATGGAGACTGCATCATTTTATTCTCTCATTTGTGCTTCTCTGCAACTTTGGATGGTCCCATGTCGTTCCAGTTCTCAGTGTTAGTGCAGTGCACAGTTGTCTAACATAAAATCCATACATAGAGGCTCAAAGCAAATAAAGATTGCTTCGTACAGCTCGTCACAGTTGGGTTAAAGTAAGCCTTGACTGCACGCGCAATTTTATTGCATTTATAAAGTAAAATGTAACTGGCGCGGTAAACTAAATGACTGGATTCTCTTCCCCCCGCCCCACACGAAAAAAAGCCAATTGATTTGAAAATGACAAAATAGAATCTTTTGGAATTAAATTGATAGCGATATTTTGTCTGTGGCAAGCTGAGGTCTCGAGTTGAAATGCTGGCAGGAAGGGTGTGAGCGCTTTCTGAGTGAGGAAAAATTGGATTTGCACAGGATGTTGGCACAAAAATGCTGGCATTGCTGCAGCCCTTCTTACCAACGTGCTACAGGAGGAAGTCGTTGCTGTGTTTCACAGGACGAGGAGAGACGTCGTATTGCCGTGCCTTGCCAGTTGAGCTGAGCTCACAATCTTTCCTTCTCACTGGTGCGACTAATTACATGGGAGACAATAACGTCGCTTCTCTCTACTCCAGAGCATATAGATATATATTTTGAAACAGAGAGAGCACACAGGCTGCTTCCGGTCTGTTGGACGATAAATCCTCACCAACATTTTTTTTCCTCTTCTCGAAAAGAAAACGCAATTAGAACATGCTCCCAAGGTGATTCCTATCAGGTGCTGCCTCAGACCAGAAAACATGCACACAAGCCCCGGGTGTGCTTTACAGATGTGGGCAAATGCAAACACGCGGGCATTAGAATACTTATTAAATTAAGTTTTCAATGCGGTCAGTAATTAAATTGCTGTACTCTCTGGGTATTTGCGAGCAGCTCAAGCTTACCAGCAGAACACGTAATAAGAAGTAAAAGAAAAGAAAGAAAATACCTGCTAAGGAAGCCTCCATTTTTCAAACCAAATTCACGGTGCCTGGATTTATCTGTCAGTCAAGCCTAAAAGACTGCTTTGCAGCCTTGAATATATCCGGCCTTTGCTTTCTATCAGTCGGATCAACACACGACACATTTGTTTTCCAAAAAGCATCCTTGAAGATTCATGTACCTAAACTAGAAGTCACATCACATTGTATTTGTCTGCTTTACCCTCAATGTATGTATTCCACCTTTTCTTGTTTCCTTTCTCCCCCACCCCGGAGTTTTCTCATGTGTGTGGATTGGATGTGAACATACTGGAGAAGCAAGGAGAATGATCACTTTACTTTCATGCTCAATTTTTGATTGGCATTGTTTACCGGCAAGAAAATAGAGAGAGAAAGAGAGAGAGAGAACAGCCTGATATCAAGGAAAAGGCTGATAATTGTGTGGGAGCACAATAAATTCTGTGAGGGTTGTAAGAGATTATCTTTGTCAGTGAAAATGAAAATGCTGTGAATTTCTGTTGGCATAACATGTAAGTAAGAATCATGAGCATTATTTCTAACATTCTGGAAACTGGTATCAATGTCTCATTATTTTCTCCATTTTAGAATCATAGACTATTACAGCACAGGAGGAGGCCATTCGGCCCATCGTGTCTGTGTCGGCTCTTTGAAAAGAGCTACCCAAATCAATCCCACTCCCCCCTTGCTCTCTCTCCCCGTACCCCTGCAAATCTTTTCCTTTTTATAAGTAGCTATGGAATTGCGTTTTCTAACTTGTTATTGAATCTGTTTCCACCATCCATCGGACTTCGCAGATCTAAATTTTCATTGCATTTTTCCCTAATTCAGGCTTCAATAGTTCAAACCAAATTCCGATACTTCATGTAAAACACAGGTCAGCCAGTTTTACTCGACTTCTCTTGCCAACAGCGCATCTTGATTAGCTGTGGCAATGTTATTGAGCTGAACAGGTCATCCTACTTCAGATAGTGTGCTCTGACCTTACAAACTATTTGCCTGGTGATGGTCAAATCCAGTCAAAACCCTCTCGATGAGGACAGGCAAATCTAAGGACCAGGTTCCAACATAAGCAGATTTGGGAGTGCAACACTGCTATCAAAACTTACAAATACTGTCATCTACTTAAGATTTGCAAGTTTACATTAGGTGCCACAGTTTGCATAAATATTTCTAAGATTAACATAAAACCTACTGTAACTTTTATAAAATAAACATAAATATGTAAAGTGTTTAATCTCCCCTCTTCCTCTTTGGCAGGAGAAATCCAGGCACCCACCACCAAACACTGAAACTCTATCGTGTCTTCACATAGAATTGTACAGTTCACAAACTATCTCTATGTCACTCAAGTGATCTTTTGAATGGCTCTTCACCGTTGTTCTCTAGAAATAAGATTACAGATGGCCATAAGATTGATTTATTAATCCTCCTCAATGAAAATTGATCCCAAAGCTACCTGAATCCAGATAAAACAAAGATTTGACTTTGGTCAGAAGGAAAAACACAGTTTTCAATTCGCTTAATGTTTTTGGTTACTATGTCAACCCTTAGTGGTTAAATATAATTCATTTATAATTAATATAATCCTCACACTATGATGACATAATAGTCTACAGAATTTACTGGTAATGATGTACTGTTTTGATATTCTGGGCACGTTCTGCTGTTTGGTAGGAGTCATGCATTCTGCCTTGTAATATATTTTAATACCTTTTTGTTTTGCTTCTTCCTTAAAGATAATTTTCTACCGCCCACAAGGAAGACAGGTGACGAAAGTATGAGCGTGTAGTGTATTTTCAAGTAGCACAACTAGTAATTACTAACATAAACTAGAATTAGTGCAATTTGCTCTAGATAATACCAAATACTTGTCAAATAGAGGCAAGCATTTCCAAACAGGGCTCCAGTTTCCAATCATTAACAGAAGATAAGCACAATGATCCCACCATACTATCGGGAGAAGCAAATGCATCCTAATACTTTGAATAGAAGAGTGACTTGCACATCACTGTTCCTTTGCAACTTATCTTGTTAACCAAAATGGGCTTTCATTGGATCTGGAAGTAATTTATATACAGCTATAAGCAATCTTAGCGCAAATAGACTTGTAAATACCTGAAGCTTATTCAGTGCAAATTGCTGTGTGCTTTTGACCGTGCTTTCAAAATATTTTTTGGGGGGGATTTTACATGCAAAACAATAGCTTTATTGCAAAATAATTTGGTTATTTGGTCTGCAATTCAATAAATCTAACTCGACAAATTATTTTATGCCAAATACAGTCTACAAGGAGCTTGGCTTTTAAACATATATGTTTTCTTGTATTACCTGAAGGTATTAAGATAAAGATAATAGATGTTTTGTCACTCACCTCTGGCAATATGCTTGTTTGTGCTTTTCGCCCACAAAACAAAATTGGTTGGTTCAAAAGTAAAAATGAAATAAAACCATTTAAGAACTGAGCAACCAATTCTCTCCTGTGCTCCAGGACCAGTAAATCTTTTGGTACAAACACAGCGCAAAACACTCACATTTGCACAAGGGCCCAGTGTTATTTTCCTTTGCAAATTAATGCACAGCCGAAGAAAGGGATTTCGACACCATGTCTGCAAGGTGAGACAATGAGTTTGTTACACAGAAATAGGCATAAGAAGTTGTTAATCGTTCGATTCAAGTAGGGGTGTGTAACAAAAACTCTCCTCATGAGAGGAGATAGTAATGTAATTCAAATCAACTTAACTTTGAGCTAATTGGCCTGTATTGTGTGAACCAGTTTCTTGTGGGTACCTCATGCATGACCGAGAGATAGGACTGTTTCTGGATGAAAAATATTGGAATCCCTGTGCTCAAGAGGCTGGCCTGTTAGTATTAATACAAGGGAAAGGCAAACAGTTCAATACCAAACACAATGATTCCCTTAATTATCAGTTACAGATATAAAGGGGGACAATGTGTTTGTACCAAGTTGAAAATGTAATCGTATACTCAGTCATTCGAAACCTCCAGTCCAATCGATTTCTAATCTGTTCTGTTCGCAAATATTTTAATAATGTCAAATTTTATTATGCATTAATGCCGCACAGTAAAAAAGAGTATGGTGGACAATGGGGTAAAAATCCACCTGGTTCTCCATGTGCTCTATTTTTGTAGCATCTCAGACCGTCCAGAATTTGGCAAATTTGGTATTTCTTAAAAGAACTTGCAGCAAATCAGCTTCACCACGACGACTCCATTGCAGAACTTGCCAAATTCTGGGATGGCCTGAAATGCCGAGAAAATAGAGCAAACGGAGAGCCAGATGGGAATTTATCCCCCATTGTGTCTAATATTTATGTGCACTGTATGCTTTCTAAGTAAGTGCTATCATGTTCCCTTTATTTGAGTTCCTGTTATTTGTTGATCGTTCTGTAAATTCTCATATGCCTATTTCTGTGCTTTATTTTTCAGGTTTCTCCACTACTTTCTCTTTTCCAACTACTTCTCTTTCCCCAGTTGCCAATGATTCTCTGTCTTCCATAGGTATTTCACACTTAAGTTGCATCTCACCCTGAATTTCAATGACCTGAAATTCGGAGTTACATATTTATAGGATAGTGTTTCAAGTACGAAGTTTTTAATTTTCTGTAGACAGTCGATTAACATACCGAGATCTGTGAACTTCTCCCTGCTGTGTATGCATCTGTTCTCCACAGTCGAGCTTTGCCACAGGGAGCAGATGAGAGCTAAATTATCTTGAGTACCTGCAATAATGTTGCTTCCACCTCAACTCGGGACGTGTAAAATACATGTACAAGGGGCTTTTCTTTTAATATAAGAATTTAAATGTGCATTCCGAGCCTTGTTTGTGCCACATGCAACGTTGAAATGCACCGTTTCTGTCAGTTTTTTGCATGTTGTGTTAATTCTGTGCGACCAAAATAACAAATTTACACATACACTCATCTGATCATCTGATCGAGATTTTGGGTGCATGATCGCTTTTTCACAGCTCCTGAAGGGTTTTCACACCAGCGAAAAAATATAAATGATATTGCATAGGTGTGAAAATGGAATCTTAACGGTTGTGTCTTACGAAGCCCTGGCTCAGAATGGTCATGGAATGAACAGCATTTTGTATCAGACAAAGGTGTATTCTGTGGGAAAGAAACTCTGCAACCGATTCAGGGCTACAGATCTTATAGGTTCTGGATTTTCCTCAGTGTGAAAGAACAATGGGAATCCTCTGTAACCAATGTGATATTTCTTCTCTCTCTCTCTCTCTCTCTCGCTCTCTCACACACACACACCCACACACACACTGAGTGGCTGTGTACTTTGCAATGGACAGGCAGTGGACCGTTGGTTAACATTCTTTTGGGATGTGATTAATATGAAGTCACTTTTGAGAAGACCTTGAATTACGTTAAAGGCTAAGATACCAGAAAAACAATATGCTTGGCTTTTCTGGAGGAGACATGGCTCATGCTAAACTACTGCTTAAAATGCACTTCTATCAGCAGTCATTTCCCTGTGCTCACCAGATTCCTGTTTGTGCATCGCTTAATGGCAGATCTGCACAGCCCTTAGTGAGAAGCTGGGTGAAAGCAAACGTTATTCCATCGGAGTTCCAGTAAAGCTGACAGATAAAAACATAATGATTTTTTTTCCACACTATTGCCTGTAAACAGTCTGCTTCTTATTCGATTACTTTGTCAACAGCTTCAGCCATTTGTCTCATTCTGTATCCTTAAGGTGCCTAAACTGACCAACCAACAAGATGAAAATAACAATTGTTTTCTCCCCTCGGAGAGACTGCACAATGCTGGTGCGTTACTGCAGTATGGAACATTGTACAGTGGGCTGTTCTCTACTCGTTTCACGCTTCAACATGGAAATTACCTGAATTGGCCTTTATTCAGTTTGGTTACCTTTCTGCAACTGCTTCCAATTCGATCGTTCTCCGGATCAGACCCTTTGCGGAGGAGAGTTCCATTACGAATTGGCAAACAAACCCCCGGCCCAAATCCTTCTCGGACATGTTTGTGTTATTTGTGTGTTCCATCCCGCAGTGAGCCACGCCGTGAACTTAATACGAATGCCGCAGCAAACACGCAGTTATTGCTGATTTGCAAAAGAGAATCGAATCAGCAGCAACAGTTCCCTCAGCACTGCTATAACTGATGATTAATTACAAAGCCCTGCAGTCTGCATGCTACTGGCAACGCTGTAATCTAACCTTCCTCTTTTACTTCTGTTTCTGCAAATAACAACGCTGCATTAATGCAATATTGCTTGTCTTGTTACTTATTCAATAGTTCCAGTCTTGCTGAACATCAGCTCTTCTGTAAGTGCAACGTATGCAAACATCAGCTGGATTCCAGGAATGGGACATGCAGCTTCTGAATTTTATGTTGCATACATGAATAACTGTAAGCTGTTCTCCCTCTAATTTTTATAGAGATTGTAGTGAATTCCCCTTTGGGCCTATTAATGTATCTATTTCACTAGCCACACAAACCATGATTAATTCGGCAGATCAATGCAGTTTATTTCTGTACAACTCATTCTCAAGTTAGCGTCAGCTTTGGTAACTTTTTATCAGAACTTAAAAAAAAAATCGTACCATCATTTGATAAGATATTTTGCATTGTAATTGCCCATTTCAAGGTGATATTATGAGAGCTAATAAAGTAACGAATGTGACATAACTTTTATGATATAATCCGATTATACTTGCAATACTTTCTTCAAATCCCAACAAATGTATTGGAGTTTAATTTTCTTAATGCAATTTTCATAGGCAAAGGTAAATGGAAGATTTCAGAAGCAGTAAATGTTTCAAAAAAATTCCACATCTTAGAAGGGCTAGAACCTGGAAGTGAATATTCAATTCGTCTTATGACTAAGAACTGGTTTGATAACACTAGCATTTTTGAAGATGTTATAGAAACAAGGGGAAAAGGTGAGGAATCGGTTCCATTCAGAATCTAGTGGGAACATTTTGTTTTCTTCCACAAGTTTAGAATAAAATCATCAACCAATCCATCCCATGCATTTCAAAGTTGTTTTTCAACATGAAATCCAAGCTTTTCTTGCCAAATTATAAACGGAGCTGGCTTGAGAATAACTTCCCGCAAAAAATAGCATTGGATTTTCTTTTTAAATCTCGTGAAATTATATGATGGTGGGACAAACCTGGATTGGCACAGGATGTTCAGCTCGCGAGGGTCTTGGGTTTCTCTGTATTACCGCTTTGCTTCATTCCTGATCGTCCACTTGCTTTCTCTTACTCCATTGGCATTGTGTACGCATGGGCTGCTGATGCTTTCTGCCTGCTTTGTTGGTTATTGTTGTTTTGCTTTATTATTCAGTCATGACTGCTCGTTAAAGCAGAATTGTTTTTGTGACACGATAGCACTGAATGAATCGGTATCCATGCAGGCACCAGATAATTTAATTTTGTTTTAATACAAAGAGTTCTCCTCAATTCCCTGAATAATTTCAGGTGTGTACAACAGATGTCAAGAACAATTTGCTCAAATTGTTATCTACCATAAACTAACCGGTTATGATGCAAAATGTTACCCATTATTGTATTTTATAAATATAACTACGAAACTTTACCTTATTTGGATTACATGTAGCTTGGTGGATACCTAGGATTGAGCTATAAGGCAGATGCACTGCCAGTAGGTTGATTGACATCACGAAGCATGAAGGCAAAGTCTGAGCAGTGTATTGATAGTAACCCAAACAACAAGTGATATAGAATTCTCACTCCCTCTTAGGCTATTTTTTAATATAAAATATACAAGTTGCGTGCACCTTCAGGATTTACAGATTTCAAAAGTACTTCGCTTGCTTTACCTTTGTTATATCCGGAGAAAGTGTATTGGTTTGCCTTTTGGCAACTCAAATTCAAGGTTCTAAAATTCCAAGACTGAAGGCTTTGATAACTCCTTTTTTTCTTGCTTGTCGCATGCTATCAAGTTAAACATACCTTGTATATTTTATATATAAAACATAGTCAGGAAAAGTGTTTAAAACCACTTATTTTCCAGATAAGGTGTATGTGTAAAAATGTTACTGATGTTGATGTATTATCTATCAATTGCACAAAATGTTAACAATTTGTCTTGTACGGTATTTCTCTTTCTGATGGTTAAAAAGTGTCTTGTTTCTCTAATTGCTTCTTTTCTTAATGATTAATTATATGACCTACAACAGCATATGCTGGAATTCATGGAGGAATATCTACACAAGGATGGTTTATTGGCTTAATGTGTGCCATTGCTCTGCTTACTCTCATTCTGCTAATCGCCTGCTTCATAAAGAGAAACAAAGGAGGAAAATATTCTGGTACGTACCGAGTCCTTATTCTATGGTGTTTGTAAAAGTACTGCACACTATTTCTACAGATGTGCGTTGGAAAGAATAGTTCCTCTCTTAATTGAAGGTAATTTCCCAATGAAGTCTGCTGAAAAATAATAATAATAATAATCCTTGCATTTGATATAGCGCTTTTCACGTCAGGAGGACGTCCCAAAGCGCTTCACAGAACACACTGTAAAGTGAATTGACTGTATATTTGTGGGCGAACGCGGCAGCCAATTGCGCACAGCAATGTCCCACAAACAGTCGTAGATTGAAAATGACCAATTTATTATTGTTTTTGGTTTTGGTGGATTATTATTAGGCTCTGTGTGGAGTAAGGAAACTTGCCCAAGGTTTCGCCCTCTGCCTGGAATTGAACTCAGGTCTCTCACTTGCAAAGCGAGTGCTCTAACCACTGAGCTACAGGACTCCAAAATGGAACGAGGTGGGAGGAGAAGGAAAAGGTCAAAACCGAGTCAGAACAGACAGGTTTAAAATATGTTCCTGGTTCGTCACACGTTCATTTAATTCAAAATAAGGTCACATTTTCAATTCAGTATGCAGTTAACTAGGATGTGTGTGATCTTTACTGCAATTGACTATTGTCTGATTACCAAAAAAGAATCACATTCTTTTGAATCACTCAGATTTTTTGGCTGTTACATTTGTCGAGAGTTGAACTAGACCCGGAACAAAATGACAGGGCTCTACATGTCCGGTGTAATATGAAGGGAAATCAAATCGTATTAAAGATAACAAAGTGGCCCAAATGGAGGTTGTTATTACGTTCACCTTGCTGTGAGGAGCGAGAAGTATCTAAACTCATCTAAAATTAGCCAACGGCAATGCAACCAAAGCTGTTTGTCTCTGTTTTGTTGGGGTCGGAAGTGGGCGAGTCAGATCTGTCTGGATCTGAATCCAAAGAAAGAGAGTGTAGGCGTAATATATCTTTGAGTCCCAGGTGAACTGGTTGCTGTTGGCCTTAACTTTCTGTCTATTGAACGAAAGGTCAAATTATGCTGAACGTTTATCCCTAATCAATAGGACATACGGCTGTGAAGTACTGTTTCTCCTGAAAATAAATTGCTCCTTCCACCACAAATTAATTTGATTTCTAGACTCTAGATTTGTTGGTCATCATGACTTGATGATTCACCAAGCCCTTAATCCAAGCCTCTAACAGCCAAAGCGTTGTCATCTTAACATTTTAAGAAATCTGTGAACACTAATGATTGTGTGTCTGTTTAAACCATGGTTTACCCGCAACGCATAATAGACTCCCCTCCTCTCCCTTTCCCTCTAGGACCCATCTAGAATATAGGTCCAAAAAATGAATAAATAAGTATGTGAAATATTTCAAGTTTAAAAAATATTTTGTACGGCAGTGTGTGTTGGCCTTTTTTTAAAGATCGGCTGGAAAATTAAATGGTAAAGACAGCATGACCATAAGGTCTGGGCCAGGCAGGGACCTAGTTAAGGTAAACACAGAGAAAATTTGATCCTTGTTAGCAGGGAGCTGAACAAAAATCAAAAACTGCTGGAAAAGCACAGCTCAGTCAGTGGAGAGAGGCAGCTTAACAGTCCCCAGTGTGATCCTTCAATAAGAGGTTTACACCTGCAGAATTAATCTCTCCACGACTGCATGAACAGACCTGGCATTTTTAATAGATCCTTTCCCACTTCCCCCTCCTACCCCCATAAAGAAATTGCTGGCGTCGCAGTTTACATGGAAGGAGGATATGGGTTTGGAATTTGCCTGGTTGCTGGAGGCTGGAGTTCAAACAGCTTCCCATTACCTTGCTGAAATGTCACAGGTGTATGCTGCATGTTCCCTCTCCGCAACTCCCCCCTCCCTTTTAACTGACAATATAGGTCATAACAGGCTGTTTCAACCTGTCCAGAATAGTGAAACCAGAAGACACGGCCTGCGATTGAAGGGGGTAAATTCAGAACGAATCTACGCAAACACTATTTCAGTGAGTGAATAATGAACAACAACAACAACAACAACAAGATTCCATTTATAGAGCGCCTTTCACGTCAGGAGGACGTCCCAAGGCGCTGCACAGTTGGGTCATGACCCGAGCAGGGGGAAATGGTCAGGGTGAGGGGAGGGAAGGGAGGAGAGAGGAGGGGGGAAATGGTCAGGGTGAGGGGAGGAAGGGGGAGGAGGAGGAAGAGAGTCGAGAGGGGAGCTGAAGGCACGGTCAAAGAGAAAGGTTTTGAGACCGGCCTTGAAGGAGGAAAGGGAGGAAGCAAGGCGAAGGCACTGGGGGATGGAGTTCCAGAGCCTCGGGGCTGAGAGGCTGAAGGCCCGACCACCGATAGTAGGGCCGTTGGGGCCGGGGACGTGGAGCAGACCGGAGCCAGAGGAACGGAGGGTACGGGCAGGTAGGTAGGGGGATAGTAGGTTGGAGAGGTAGGAGGGAGCAAGGCCGTGAATGGCCTTGTAGGTGAGGATGAGGATCTTGAAATCAATTCTCTGGGGATGGGGAGCCAGTGGAGGCGAGCGAGGGTGGGAGTGATGTGGTCCCGAAGGCTGGTGCGGGACAGTACACGAGCTGCAGAGTTCTGGATGACCTGCAGCTTGTGGAGGGAGGTGGCGGGAAGGCCGCGAGGAGAGAGTTCCCATAGTCCAGCCTTGAGGTGACAAAGGCGTGAACCAGGGTTTCAGCAGCCTGTGGAACAGGCTCCCAAGGGAGACGTTTGAAGCAGAAAATGTTGATTCCTTCAAACATAGGTTAGACAGTTTTCCTTTAGGAAATAACATTATGGGATATAGTATTTGGTAGTTCGGGACATATGTGCATGTGACCGCCAGGAAGGTGGAAGGTTAACTAGATGGACCTTGGTCTTTTTTTTGTCTAGCATTTCTTCTTATGAATCTTAGCGTTCCTATAGAATGGTGCGCAGAGCGGCAATGCTATTGGCTATTTGTCTTTACATCTTTACCTCTTCCCCTCCACACACATGTAAGTGTGTGTGAAGCTATTTTCCAGGGCTATGCATATCCAGCACTTTATGTTGACAGTTCTGATGTCCAGTACTCCGAGCTACTTTTCATCTATGCTTAACAGAACAGTTTGAAACCCGCCGTCCTTTATTAGGCTCTCAAAACAGCCACTGTCTCCAGAATGCCAGATGCAGCTGATAGAAAGAAAGGAGGAATAGCTGTTCAAAGCAATTTAGGAGCGACTTTAATTCAACCACAGAGTTATTATTTCCTGAGATAAGATGTTAAAGGAGATCGGATAATGCGTAGCTGTAGCTTGGAGACTAATGCCTAAATCTCAGTCTTGACTGATTTTTTAACTCAAAACGTTTCTATATATAATAATTGAGTTTTTATATAGCGCCTTACCACGTCTTCGAGACGTCTCAAAACGCTTCACAGAATATATAAAGTTACTTGACTATATTTTGGGGGTGAAATCGGCAGACAATTGCGCATAGCAGGTCCCACAAACACTCATGAATTGAGTGACCAAATGATTATTATTATTATTTTTTGAATGGGTTATTACCTCCCCAGAAAAGCGACCCGCCATTCGGTTAACAACCGGGTTCCTACTTCCTGCTAGGTAAATAGAGGCGTGTGGAGTACGGAAACTTGCCCAATGTTTTGCCATGCCCGGGAATCAAACACAGGTCCTCTCACTTGCGATGCGAGTGCTCTAACCGCTAAGCTACAGGACTCGACATCTCACTCAGCTATCTTGACCCTGAGTTCATCAGTGTTGCCTTTGTCATGAGGATACGTTACGCAGCCGCATATTGATATAGAGGACAATCGAAAGCTGGAGAAAAGTTACCAGGGGAAGGGGGAGATTGAGGTCAGGACACTGGGAATCCTTTGAGAAACAGCATGATGCTGCAATGGGGATACGGCTGGGTGGGTGTTCTGGAAGGATGAGATCGAATGGTTTCATCCAAAGCTCTTTTGTGGTCCATTAACCAGTAAGTGAAATTGATGGAGTCTGACTGACTGTCTGACTGACTGAGGCAGGTAACCCGATAACAAGAACAACAACAACAACTTGCATTTATAGAGCGCCCTTCACGCGGGGTAGAGTCCCAGAGCGTTAAACAGGAACGTAACTTGTAAAGCAAAGTTTTTGAAACATCCAGTGATGTACAGTAATACACTGCACTCACAACACTTCAGGGAAAACAGTAAAATATTTACGTCAAAAACTTTCAAGCATAGGCAAAGCCATGAGGCGATAGCTGTACAAGTAATAACATTCCTAAAGCATTGTTACTGTATGAGCCGAACACCAATGCAATTTATTTTCATATGTCACCACTATGTTCTCCCACTATAGCACTATCACCTTCAAAACTAATGAATAATCCATCAAAATGGAGGATACTTTAAATCAAGCCCCACACAGCTGTCCTGTCTCGAGCATGTATCTTAAATGGGGCAAATTCACCTAATCCCAGAATGTATTTTTATATATTGAGCCAGATTAAGGCACTGGGACTCAGTAAAATTGAAGTCTAAATCCTATCTTAATACCTGGCAGTCAGACAAAGGTATTTGCCTATTTATTCTATATCCAGACTTGTCTGTAAAACCCAGCAATCTAAAACTAAGACCACTGCACTCATAGAAAGATCTAAATTCTCCTTTTGCTATTTTACACCCAGAGTGGAGGGCACGAGTGCCCTGGCAATAAAAGTGCCATCGCTGCTGTATTCCAGTGTAAATGGTACACAGCGGCCAATGTTGTTCTAATGCATAAGGGAATACGTGTTCCCTCTGACACTGAGGAGCTGTATCAAGGCAGCATCGGGTAATAATAATAATATAAATTGCTCCTGAAGTCATTCTGCTTCACGTGACCTCCCTCTAGTTGTATTATTCTTCAGTCGCCTCAGTCTGTTATTGTACGTGATGACTCGTCCAAACAGACTGGCACGCAAGACACTGAAGGCTGATTGCTGCTACAGTTTCGGGCTAGAGAAGCAGAATGACTTTACTTAACCCTAGTAGGAGAACTGGCTCACGGTGATCTCAGTGTAGAAGGGATCAGCTCCTGATTGATGAGGAACACCTAAGCTTTAAAATGCAATGCTAAGTAGATGCAAATTTGTGAAATAATGGGGCTTCCACAATGTTCATAGCCCTTCCTTTTTAGACGCTCAGAACCTCATTAGACTAGTCATACCCGACCTGAGTAATAACAGGAAAAAAACACTCAAATTATTATACTGTGTAGATCTCACTGAAAATGCTCGGGCTTCCAACAGAAAATTCAAAACAAAACTGTTGTTAATTTCATTAGCACAGCCAGTATTGTTTCTTCATTATCAATGTTGTTTGCATTGCGTAAAATCTCGTGCCTAATCTCATCTTTGATGAATACAAAAAGAGCACCATGGTTTGAAGCAGAAGCACATCACTTTCAGTCATCCAGGAAAGCTCATTACAGTCCGGCTTTCCTGTCAATTGCACGCGTATGGTAAACCTGATAAAACATTTCATCTTGCACCAACAAGCCAAGTCTTTTATTAGAATATGATGTGGTTTGTCTTATTCTTCAGAGTAAATTAGTAATGCTCTTATCTGGGGGGAACCAAATAGGCTAATTGTTTTTCAAAGTTTCGATTTAATTAAAAAGTATGATTCGATAGAAGAACGACAATATTCTGACTGTTCTAAAGGGCGATAACAATTCATCCGCTCATGTCTCGAGTCCTGCTTTGTTACCAGGTTTAATGCTGTCAACTTACTGATTAGAGGCAGCTAGGTGACAGACATTTTGCGAAGATGTTCTTCTCCATTAGCATCATGAAGCCGCAGCGAGCGGTCTCGACGGCACCATCAATCCTGGTGTCATTGGGACAGAAATCTGAAGCAAGTGCCTGATTCTGGGTTCTGGTTCCAGGCCAGACACCTGACAGCATAAAGCCCAACACAATATGCACCGAGGACTTCCCAGTCAAGGAATAGGCACCGACCTTACTTAATATTTGACCCCCTTTAACGTGAATTAGATCAAAGCTGACCATGTGTTATTTCTGTGGAGTTTCTGAGATCATAAGATTCCCACAAGGAAGGTCCTTTGGTGCATTTGATCTCGTTCCTCCAAAATACAAGCCCATGTTTTGAATGAATGAATGCAGTGTCCCATGCTTTTGCTCAGTTGAGCTCTGAGGATCAAGATCCATCGCAATTGCTGGCATTTTATAATGACACTGTAAACCAAATCTGGTATATAATATTCTTACGCGTTACTTCTCCTACAGTTAAAGATAAAGAAGATGCCCGTGCTGATCCCGAAACACAACCGATGAAAGAGGAAACATTTGGAGAGTACAGGTAAAACCCTTTTCCAGGGCAGCTCACAAAACCATTCAACCACTACAAAACACACAAGTCACCGCACTTCACAGTAAATCCTTTTGAAGCATTTTGAGATGTTCTCCTGACTTATCAAACGCAAGGACTTTTCTTATTTTTCTTTTGCATTTTTATTTTGTGTTGAGATATGTGTCAGTTCTGTATTGAGATTATCTCCTCCCACACATTTAACTCCTGCTAAATTCACATTATTAGGATTTCATTATTTGGTTTTCCTTTTGACTTTAAAGCCAACTGTGCTGAATTAGATTGTATGAAGGCTGGTTATATTGACTTTTACCTCACTAAAGCTGTAGTTCAGATAAATTTCATTTCACAAACATCTGGGCATTAATAACTTTGAATTTTCTAAGTAGAATTTATTTTAACATTTCCTTTTAAACCGTGGCAACTGGCATTCAATTCCATCATAATAGTACAATAGTTCATTATTTGATGATATATCTCACACAAGGTACATTTTCTCTGTATTTTCTTTACTTATTGAAATAAATGCCTTTACAATACTGCAACTGTAGGAGAATATTTGATGTGTTGCAATGGAATTGATACCTTTGATTCCATGTACCTATTTAAGTAATTAGTGAGTTGATCACCTCCGTGAAACACTGTGCCATCTCGTTGCTTTTCGCACCAATCAATGATAGAGCAACATGTGATGATATTTCTGCTCGCAATTCAGCACAAAGGGTTATCCAGGGCCAAGAGAATTGAACTAAAAGCAAAATGTGGGGTTAGCACCAGCACGGACACAATGGGCTGAATGGCCTCCCATGTGCTATGCATTTTCTTTTGATTCTCTAAGGGATCACTACTTTAACCCTCCTAGATAATAACAATAATAATCCTTGCATTTGATACAGCGCCTTATCCCATCTTCGAGACGTCTCAAAGCGCTTCATAGAATATATTATAAAGTGAATTGACTGGTTATTTTGTGGGCAAAATAGATGTGGGTAAATGATCCTGAAGTCAATCTTATCATTATGTTTTTTTGCAATTTCAGCTTGAATTTAGTTAAATAGTATTGGTTTGATATTCTACCATTACATTACGGTGATCTCAGTAGGTTTAATGGATATTTGAACCGAATGGTCTGGATTTGGAAGTAAACTTTTTGACATGAACTTCAAAGAAGAAGAAAGCTTAGAATGAGAAAAAAAATCACACTCACTCTGCACAGTCTATTACAAAAGCCATCATGTTATTGATTACATCTACCTAACCTAGAGGAAGATATTGCTTTACGCTGCCTGGATCTCAAAAATACTAAAGCACAGAAGGACAAAAATGTACTCATCCCCACATATCTTTCCTCAGAAATAGTTCCTCTCTTCCTCCCACCTTCCAGTATATAGCTATAACCACTGGAGAATTTGTTGATATCCCTATAACTTCGAATAATGTTCTCAAGCAGATAATTTTCCATCTGACTGAGCATCAAGTGTTTTTCTTTGGCAGTTTGTGTAAAATAATAATAATCCTTGCATTTGAATTATAGTGCGTTTCACGGGTGTAGGATCTCTCAAATCGCTTCACAACTTTTACTGCAAAAGAGTAATAACTGTGTATTTTGTAGGTGAACGTGGCCGTCAATTTGTGCGCACCAATGTCCCACAAATGAAGTGAATGATCAATTTTAGCTGGGGGATTATTGGCTGGGAGAAATCCGTTTTTCTTTTCGAATATTGCCATGGGATCTTCAACATCCACCTGAACAGGCAGTCAGAACATCTGATAATGAGCCACTCCCCTTGAAGTGTCAGCCTAGACAGTGAGTTCAAAATCCCGACGTGGGGCTTGAACCCATAACCTTCTGACTTGGAAGCGAGAGTTCTACCAACTGAGCCAGGCTAACGCCTTATCCATTAGATGGGCATAAAACAGCTTCCAATCTGTCAGTCCTACTTGAATATGAAACTTTTTTTTCAGCACATCTCCCCTTATTGCGTTTTCAAAGTGAATAAATCACCTTCTTACCTAAAAGTCGCAAATGTCCCCCTTTTTACAATGAACTAATTCAGCTCTGTGAGCTCCACATCCCATTTTCAACCTTGTTGCTCTTCTCTGTACCCTCATGAGCATTTCAGAATGTTAGAGCTGCCCAAACCACAGGTAATATTCTGACTGTGGCCTCACCAGTGATTGATACAATGTTGGATAACTTCTTTCGATTTGCAGTCAAATATCTTCGAGATACGATCTTGCATTTGATTAGCTTCGTCCACAGCAGCTTCACAATGTCTGTAAACCTTCAATGAATGATCAATACTCACTGAAATCCTTCTTCCTTCTCCATCTCTGCTGATGGACGCCCCTTCATTATGCAGCAGTGTCTGCAGTTTGTTCCGTATGCATTCCCTCATATTTTATCTCATTTTTATTCTGCACACATCAGGCTACGAGGGGGAGGCAAGAAATGAGCATTTACATTGATCAATGTTTTAGGAATTTATTTAAAATTGATTAAAAAAAGGAGAACACTCAAGATTGTTGTTCAATCAGTACCGTGAGGTTCTCAGGCAGGAGGTGACTGGGTTGTTTTGCTACTATTCTAATTTTCATCATCATTCTGAGCTAAGCTGTACGGTGTATTGAATGACTGGCTTGCCAAACCTACTCTCCAGTGGAGCAGACACAGTATCTGCTTTGATTTTCATGTTGTACTTCAATTACTAGAACCCCTGCAGAGACATAATGTCATCTTTCGTGTGGAATTTTTATACTCTCCTGAGTCAGGAGTAGATTTTGTCTTTGTCCTTCCTGCAGATTGATGCACTGTACTGTTAGTAGACACTGCCTCTTTCGCCAGTTTGCCTAATGAGACTTAGATGTCAATTTCCTTGCACGCTTCATTTGCCCCATGCTATTTGGTACTGGTTCACTGTCTGCAGTGTTTCTAATCAATCAAAGCCAATAATTAATTCATGGCTGATCAATTAAAATGTAATCATCTTTCTCGTGTATTGATGATTCACCCTTTTCATTTCACTTCCTGACCTAGGGCATCAGCAATGAATGATGGAACGAATAACATGTCACATCTTTAACATGTATATCTCCTGTAATTGATGTGATCTTCATGAGGGCATCTCAGTTACAACAAAAAAAAACAAGGGGAAAATCAATTCAAAATATCCAGCCTTCTCCGTTTGAAGAATTGAATTCTTTTCGTAATTGTGACTTGATTCATCCAAATAAAGATTAGAACCGTTTTGCTAACTGGCTCTCATGGGGTACACACACTGTAAGGCACCTTATGGAGAACGCAAATAGTTTCTCTGACAATGCAAAGCAACAGCGACCAGAAATGACCAGGCAAATTGCATCAACTGATGCTTATTATTTTTAGCAACAGGCAAAGACGCTCATTTGGAACTGATCCCAGATCTTAAGGTTCGTAAAGGGTTTAAATCTGACCTCCGTCCTCCCTCAAGTCTGAGTTGCAGTTTAATCAGATGAGCCCTGCAGTATATTAACTCAGCAGGCTGGATTTAAGATATCAATCTGATGCCAGGATTTGTATTACGTGCAATTTTAAGTAAGATATTTGAATCGCAGTGATCCAGTTAGATAGCAGATTTTTATTCACCCAATGCCAGATATAAAATGTTACAGGGCTGGCGAGAGATGGTAGTGATTTCAGACTTGGAGCAGTGTTCTATTTTTCTCTCAATGCTTTATATTGAATTCCTGCAAAACCAAATTCCAACAATAAATGACAATGTTGCTGTATTTCCCCAGTCTGAGTTACGGGTTAGCAGTTTGCACACAGAGCCTTGGGACGTCCTCCCGACAATGAAAGGCACTATACAAATGTAACTCTGTATTGTATTAGGTTGGTCAGCAAGCAGGTGCATGTAGCCTCCAAAACAAATAGAGAAATTGCATTTATTTAGTGCAACATTGAAGAACTGGCCTTCCGTAAAAATAAAGGGGAGTCAGCTCGATGCTGTGTTGGAAGGATCAGATCAAATGGGCTGAAGGGCATTCTTCATTCATCCAAGCCAATCTTGTGAGCTTATGAGTGACATGTTTGTGTGTACAAGCAGAAACTTGGAGGTGGGGGGAATCAATAAATAACACCAAGTTCTTAGTATGGGCATCAATACATTATTGCGGAAAGAGCTGGTATGCTATTCACAAAGAGCTTTACCCCAAACGTAGACATTATTCATTCTTGAATTAATACGCGATAGAATGTAAAGGAACTGCAGTTTAGGTTGTTTTACATCTGTGAGATGAATGTAATACATTGAAAGTGGAAACCAAATCATTTTGCCCAAGATTGTAACCTTAGAAACTCACACACTGTTTTTTTTCCCCTGCTTATTGAAATTCACATCGTGCTCGCAGTGTATTTAGAAGCCAAATATGTTTAGCGACAATGAACTCCAGTCAAAACCAATATAATCCATAAGATCACAGAAAACAGCAGGGAAATGCATTTCTTTACTACGAATGCAAGACAAAATAATTATACAGAGATAAATGAACAAATTATAACATTTTTTCAACCTCAGTTTATTCACTCGCTACAGTAATTTTAAATCACTGAAACTATTTCCCTTTGCACAGCGGAGGATTTTGCTTTAATATGTTCTTATGCTCTTTCTTTTTGCTAACTTCAATGGGAACAGGTCACTGGAAAGGTAAGACGGTAATTGTGTCCAGTCAGTTTTTGTCCAGTTTATTTTATATATTCTTCTGCCAGCTGTCACCTTAATTTTAGTTTCTTCCATCTGTCACAATTTTAAGCTGCAACTTAATCTTTGAAGCATTTCCACATTTATTTTTGCATAAAATCTGCACTTACAATGAATCAGGGGCTTAAATTTGATTCATTACGTGGAGCATAATTTGAAACAGGACCTAACATGTTTTCATCCCACAGTATAATTTGCATTTCAAAATATGTTCTGTGTTTCTTAAACGCGTAGGTGTTAAATAATGAAAGTGCTACGTTTTTACCTTTGATTTGGTTTCATTCTCCGGCCAAGGACAGCCCAAAAGCATTATCAATCTTAACAGCTCGATGAAAGTTTTCACGAGAACAACTGATGTGGAGTCAATATCGTGAATTACCATTTAGGCTCCTTGATTATTTCTGTAGGATGGAGCGGAGTGCTATTTGTGCAGTTTGTGTTTTGCTTCTTGCAGTAAGCATGTTGCATGCAATGACTCAAAAAAAAAAGAATTATCTGAATATTGCCCTTCACATTGTGTACAGTTATTGCTGGCAATCTGGTAGGGTCAAAGGAAGGTAAATTGGTCTCTGGGTATTTCAAATGTAACGCGTAGCTGCTGTTGCACAAAGACTTAAATTCATTCAAAAGCTATTTTGTATTAGAATATAGTTAAATTATGAATTTTCAATTTAGCTGGTAAATATGATTGTATTTTGTTTTTGGTTCAGTAGTATTTCTGATTAGTTAACTGATTATACTGCTCGACTGAGAAATCATTATTCCATGTAAACATTATTGACCACTCTTTCTGCCCCTCTTCTGATAGTTTATGAAACACACAAGTGCCAAAGTTAAGAATGAAATATGAACCCTTTGTAACTTGGAAAATTGTTATCTAAATAGAACCAGATAGATAAACAGCATTCAACGTGATCTGACTCGATTAAAAGGACAGCTTATTCAATGAATTGCAAATTGATTTTAATGTAGACAAATGTATGATAATGTGAACCTAGAATGGGAAATAAAAATAGCACAATCTGTGGACAAGAAACAGTACTCGACAGTGGAAAGACGGATTTGGATTATTATTGACATTAATTGGTAGTTTCTGTCAATGTGAAGCTATTCCCAGAAATCTAATAGAATAACAGTTACCTATAACTTTGAAGCAAGTTGTTCAAACCTTTTGTTGAGGCTACATTGAAGTATTTCAGTATGTTCATCCAACCTATTAGAAGCAGTTATGAATATTAACCAGACAACCCAACCTTCAGAATTGGCTTAAGAAATTAGCCAGATTCAGTACTTCCCAGGATAGACTAGAGCTCCCTGAAGCTGGAAATCCCACCAACCCCAGAGGGAACACTGGAAGCTAACTCTCCTTCCCTTGTAGAAGCGCCTTTGGCTATTAAGTGAAAGTGATATCAAGTTATGAACGGAATCTTGCACAGAGGCTGAAACCAGACTGAGCTCCATGTTAATTTGTCGTAACCAAAGCCTAACAGTGATGGTGGTGTCCTTTGTTTTAAGTGTTTCTACTCAATTCATAAAATCAGGCTTCAATAGGAACAAATTAACATTTCTGAGTCCATCACAGCAATCGATTCCTGGAATGGAAAGAAAAAAGTTGTAAATCAGATAATTCATGTAAATTGGCAGCACAAAGTGCAGGCTAAAGCATGGAACTATTCCTACACTGTAATTCCAAAAGGAGAGNAAAAAAATCAAATGAATTCTTGGGATTTTTCTGAATTCTCCACACCACATTCTGAGAGCGGATGATTTCCTTTTCAGTGACAACGAAGACAGGCCCTTGAAAGGAAGCCAGCAGTCTCTGACTGAGGACGTGAAGCCAACAGGCAGTGATGACAGCCTGGCGAAGTACGGAGAAGGTGGATCGGAGGGACAGTTTAATGAAGATGGTTCATTCATCGGACAGTACAGTGGCAACAAAGAAAATGGCGCAGTGGATGGAAATGAAAGCTCCACAGCTACGTCTCCTGTTAACGCATGAACGAAGTCTGCACAAACGTCCTTCACTCTGTAGCAAGTTTGGGGACGTGACTGTGCGTTTGTTCAATTTCCATTTAGTTCGTATTCCCAACAAGCTTCAAATAAAGTAAAGAAAACGGTGATGGGCCAATGAAGAATGATTACCAGAAGTACAATATTTGTTGGAGAATAAGATGCATGGGACCATTTGCAGTAGTCTGCCTTTCTTTCTCAAGGATATATTGTACAAATAATAAAACGCGTTGTGGTACGAGTGTCAATTTGTATTGTAGATGTCCACAGTTCAGAAGTGGTTTCCAGGTGCTGGCTTAGTGGCAACTAGTGACCACTGAAATATTTGTGGCGTTAGCAACTCTGAGCCCCATTAGTTCATTTCAATGATTCGTAACCCACCCACTTCTGAACTGTAGACCCGCAGATCTTGAATATGAGAATACAAAGTGGTGGGATCCTATCTTAAGTATTTTTTTCACACTGACTCCATGACTTTGCAGTGGCTGTCAGTTTAAGGGACCAAACACCTCCACTCTCCCCGATGGAACACCAGCTAGTATAGCTTTACAGAAGAGCAGTGTTTTACAAATTACACGTTGTGGCCACATTCAGTGAGCGGAGAAAAGGAACGAAACGATAACATTGATGTGTGCGTGACCGAGAAACGGCACAAGTCGAAAGCAAATAGTCACTTCGGTTTTAAATAACAAGGTGCATTGCGGAATCTGATTTCGAAATGACTCCTTGCTAATGAATGTCTTAGAAAGTGATTGATAGATAGAAGGCACTAGTTCAAATGGCAGCTATGGCACCATTGAGTTGTCAAAAAAAAAGCACAAATCATCCTCGTGCAAACCGTGCCTCGTTGGTATGCAATACAGCTGCTCCAAACCTTGTGTCTTATTTTTCTTCAAATGTGCTCTATACCCAAAGTTCTGCATCTTGTGATTACATTCAGTCAGAAGATTCAGACGTAGGACAATGGCATGTACATTTTGTAATTAGGAATAAAGTGTTAACGTTCGGGAAGGGAGCATAGGGATGTCAATTCAGCATTTTTTTTTGAACAATTAATACTGGTGCAAGCTCTGAATGTGCGACTTTGCTGCTTTTCGATTTTTATTAACGTGCATAATAAGAGTTTGAAGCAGGAAATCAAGATACACACGGTGTCTGCAAGATACGTAAAATGGAGCAATGTCGATGAAGTATTTCCACCAATAAAAACTGGTAAAGATTACAGAGCGTCAAATTTTACTGAAATTTTAAATTAGTGAACAATTGTGAAGTTATATCAGTTTCTATAAGGCTGAATTACTTCTGCTTGGAATCACTGGCTTTTTTTTAAACAAACTGATCTAAGATCTAGATGACGATTTTTTTTACACAAGAGACAAATGATGTTTCTATTAACTAGCTGCAAAGCACTCACGGACATCCTTTGTGACTTGTTGAGACTAAGATATTTACAAACGTCAAATCATTGTTCACGATGCAAACAAAAGGTTTTCAATTCATGCTGTGTAGGTGGTTTGTATTAGTAGGGCAAACCTTTTGCAATTAAGATTCTTTGGGTTGGGGGTGGGGGGGGGAAAGGGTTTAAACAAATTGTATATTTTCATTAGCCTTATCGAATATGCATGGCATCCAGAGATTCATTTACAGATTTTTAAGATATGTATGCTGATCTTTTAAGTTTCTGTTTCCTACCTAGGTGTGTGTCATTGACTTTAATTTGTTTTTATCCGGATAAATTGTGTCATGAAACTGTTCCGTCATTTGTGTAACTACTGTATTTTACGGAAAAATGAACCATGTAGTATTTGTAAATGCCAGTCCTTAACCATGCCAAGATTTATAGGTACCGGTGTTCTAACGATGATCCGATTTAATAAACCGCTCCCAGACGCAAAGCCATTTCTGTACGGTTCCTGCATCTTCTGTTGTAAGGGAGCAGCTTATTTTTAGTTTTGCCTGTAATTTTTTTGTGGAAATGTTGACGAACCAAAGTATAATTTCTGATGTGTAGCCTTATGTACGTTTCATTTTATTATACCTTGGGCTTGAAATGGGTGAACATGTTCCGCCCCAGGAGCTATTACACTTGCGGAAATATTCTTCAGTGTTGCCTGCTAATTGACGTTGTGACATATCAGCAAGCAACCTTAGCAGCAGTGTAGAACAATAAGTGTTGCCTTCTGGCTTCCTGAAGCCCAAGCTGTGGCCGGCACAAGACAGGTGCAAAGGTTTCTTGCTCTTGAAATAAATTTAAGCCCAAGGGAATAATAAAGCAAGTATTGACTGCAGTTTTCAGCCTATACTGTAAAGCATCATGTCTCGGCTTACAGAAGTAAACCTTGAGTATGCATTATTCCCTCAGCCTCCTTTGACCATTATAACACAATCTTTATCAACTTTCAGGTCAACCTTTTTCGATCATAGACTTCAACTGCAGCCAGTATTTGTCATATTATTGCTTTTATGTCTTCTTAAAAGAAAATGTGAAAACTTGTATCAAGTTTAACAAAATAATTTTCTTAATTTGTACGCTTACACGGATGTTGTAAAGTACCCTACAAATAGACGGTAACTTATTTAACTTTGTAGTGGCGTGATGTCATCTCACCGCTGTGTGACTATATATAGTACTGTATTAGTCTTAAATGGTTTAAGTACTACCCTTTGTTAGTGTACTTTATAGTGTATCAGCATTGAAAATTCAGAGGTGCCCTTGTCAGTGATACCGTGGTATGTTATCACTCAATGAAGACATGTGAAGTTTACAAACTCATGTTTTCTGTATGTGTGCCACTCTTATATGATATAAACTCATCACGGAATGTTTCAGTTATTAATACTTGTTGTATAGATGAAATTGTGAATCTTCAGAACATGAAACTATCTGTTATGCTTGTCTTATTAAATCTAGAATAATAACAAATTGAAGTCTATTTTCCGTTTTTGACACAAATTTAGCTTTTTTGTTTTGCATGGCCCGAGGAAGCCATAGATTAGAAATCAGTTGAGGAATTTGAGAAACCAAGAGAGACAAATAGATACTTGAGGAGTAAAAATATTAAGGGTTATGGTGGTGATGGTAGGATTGGAAAAGGTTGTAGCATGTGGAGCATGAAATTATCTGTGATGGAATAGGATTGATGAGCTGAATAGCCTTCTCCTGTTGCTAATTTGCTCTGTTCCTACCTAACAGTTTTATCGAGCAGGAGATTGCTATGACAGAGAATGTTAGAGCTTAAAACATAACTGCAATTAAGGTAAGGTTGTGTTGGATGAAATAGACTCAAGCAATTGGAATTTAACAACTTTACCAAATCAGAGAAGTGCGTTATCAATTTCTAAAGCCTGTGGAGATTTTATTCCCAATTCCCAAATCCTAATGTGCAATAAATCACAGAAATATTTTGGCCCTCTTTTGCATAAAATGTGTGCATATTTTTGTGCTTGCAAGCTATTATTGGATGATCAGCAAAATCCATTTGCACTACATTTGCTCGCCTACCATTCATCATAAATATGCTGCATTAATGCACTTTCAAAATGACCAATATTGCAATTTGCATTTGGAAACTGGTTTCAAAGGTCACCTCAAAATTTACCTTTGACTGTACCTTTTCAGCTTCCCCCCCTCCCCACCGCCGGCTTCCCCAGCCAGCTGTGCCCAGGCAACTGTGTGAAGCACGATCGAATGTTCTCTCGGTGTGAAATGCTCTATATTAAATGTAAATTGGATTGTATGTTCATATGAATTGTCAAGCCCCAGTACACTCATTGGCTTTTCTCCAGCTTAGCTGAGAGATTCACACCTTGAGATACTCTTCTCCCCCCACCTCGGCTGCTTTAACATCAATACTTTTGGGAAGAGTGCTTGAAGTGCAAAGCATTGGAAGAAGCCAATTCTGCTAGCCGGTCATTCTTAAACAGAGTTGTTGAGTGTAGCAGGTAGTAATGGGGAGGATCGGAACAGCGCCAAAGGGACTGGGAAGTAAGAAATAGACTGCCCTGACCCAAAGCAAACCTGGCGCAAAAAGAGCAGTGTTATTTTTTTTAATGGAGTAAAAGAAATTGACAAAATATCTATTTCCTTCCTATATCCGAAACATTGATTGTCCAGCACCTTGGGACATCCTCCCGATGTGAAAGGCACTTTACAAATATAATTCTATTGTTGTTGCTGTATGTTATCTCCTTTGCTTTTACTGCATTATCTGCCTTCTCTGGCCAAGAGGACAGACGGATTTTCTTCCCCAAAAGGTTGTGAATACTGGATCCATTCACATCTTCAAGTCTGAAGTGGATAGATATCTGTTAGATCAGGGAATTGAGGGATATGGGGCAAGGACTTAAGGTACAGATCAGCCATGATCTTATAGAATGGCGGAACAGGCTCGTGGGGCTGAATGGCCTCCTCCTGTTTCTATGGGTCAGGGCCACTCTCCAGCTACAGTCTCCTATGATTGAGCAGCTTCAAAAGATGCTGCACAACTCAGCATCTGTGATCCCAATTAGGAGGATTTTTTAGACAAGAAAATTAAGTATCTCTCTGATACTGGACGTGCCTTGGACGGCACTGGTGCGCTGGAGGCTGGAAGGTTTCCCAGTTGCATTGGCTCCCAAGACATTGCCTGATGATGGGGCCTGCAGCTGATGTCAGCTGAGTAGCTCTGTGGCATTTGAGTCTCATATGGGATACCTCCAGGAGAGAGCTGCAAGAATGTTTAATTTCTCATACAGGACAGCAGACATTTAGAAGAATACTCCAGGGCGGAACTCTGCTCTCTGCTTTTTTGGTACTGAAGAATGCTGAATGTGGCATATCTTGTAATTAATTGTGCAATGTCGCATTGCTTTATTTGTTAGGGTTTTCTTTAAACTTGATTGCCCACTCTATCTGCTTGCTGCACTGCTGTCTCTTGCGAGACATGGTCTGTTGGATGAAATGCGCAGCGGTCAGAAGATCACAAAAGAGGTTGGAATAAAGCACTTCATCCTATTGATCTCTTCCATTCCCTTCTGCCTCCGCTTTTCAGCATCAAGCTGTGTCCTAAACGTGTCCTGCCCACCCTTTCTGGTGGCCTGTTGAAATAATTCCTGGTGTCTACACCTATGGCTTGAAAAGAGATGTCTCAGTGGGGACTTGTATGTTTCTTGACACAGGGGAGGGGGAGTTTTGACAGCCGAGACTGATTTGGTCCTCACATTTCCTAAGGAGCAAAGAAAAGAGGAGCTGGTGGATCACAGCTCTAACACGGCGAAACTCATACTTGCTTGGGGACTTTCAAAGGATAATCAACCTATCCGATTCCAAGGCTGACAAACATTAAGAGTGTGAATGTCTTGCAGAATTAGTCTCATTAGGCGAGCAAACTGCTTTACCTGTTCACACCAGTAAATATTTCCTTGTTTAACATTTCACGGGGCTCGTGCTGTGGCGTCTGAACAGCAATTTTGTTCAATTAAACTAATTGATTGGCTTTTTGGAGCGGGTATACAGAGCGTAAGCTAAGTGCAGGCTCATTATTGTCTTGCAGTTCTGGGCAGTGCATCATGTAAGTGACCTCAGTAGTATTCGTTGTAAATTTGATATAAGTGAATGGAAAATAGAGTCGTAATCCTCGATAAAGCGTATTTTTTTTCAAGGTCTAGGCACTTACCTTGTTTTAATGTCTTCAAAACAATTCAGTAAATTGCACACGGGTGGAGTGGAGGTATAATTGTCAAGCCAATAAAAGTTACTTACTCTTAGATGGCATTTAAATTAAATTTACTGTGATTTTTTTTCAATCGGTTCTGCAAGCAGCAGATAGCACTAAATTGTTGTTTGAAGGCAATAAAGGGTAAACATATTACTGATTGTTCTGCTAGTGGCACTGAGACAGGCCCTGGAGTATAGGGATTAAATTAGATGACCTAATACCAAGGTGGTTATATAAATAAAGGTTGTTCAGTTTAAGATAAAGATGAGTTGTAAGGGATTGCCAGAGCCTCTTTCTTAAAATCTCTCTTAAAATGACTTTCATCTTAAACCTTTAAGCAAAGGCAAATTGCTTTCCACAAATTATCGTTCCTGCTTTGATTGTGCTCGTTTGATTTGTAGACCTCTTTCAACCTTGAATTTCAACCACTAATACTCCAGAATTTGGCCCATCGTAAGTTCATTCATAGCATAACTTGCCACTTTGGGATTTAGACCTATTAACGAAAGTGAAAGGATTTATCCCATGACACATATCTACATTATATAAAAAAACTAGTATGCTCCTAGAATTCCACCATCCCTCTAATTGCTTTGTAAATATAGTGCTTGGAATTCCGATCAGGAAAGTAGGAGTATTAAAGAGTATGGAGAAAAGGAGGCGATTAAAAGATCTACCACAAATAATAAACTGATGGCACAAGCTTGATGGAATAAATGGCCTCCTCCTATCTTTGTGTTCCTACGCTACAGATTCTGAAGCTCTTGATATCAAATATATTTTGCTTTTCCATCTTAAACTCCGTTGACTAAAATGTTAATGCATCCACATTGACACTGCCCTGATTACGGGTTTACATTTAACATTCAGTTATATTTTGAGGATTATAGTCTTCATTTTTTTTGACCCAGTATTCCAAAGAAATTGTCTTTCCGACCATCTTGCTTTTGATTTGTTGAGGTTACTGTTCAAACGGAATGCGTTCCTGATACACAATCGGCACAATTTGCTTGTGGCTTTGATTACTAGGGTTGGACAACCATTTGTATATTGTGCTCAAGAATATATCTCCTTTAAAGACAAGCCCCACCTAATAAAATCCTATGTCCTGACCAGGGGTGAATTAAAATGTCGGATTTTTAACCTGTGGCATTTCTGCCTTCTGATTTTAAGCAAGCCTCCTTCGAAAGAGATTGGGTTTGAATTACAGGCTTGACTGACTATCAATGGCCAGCTCCAGAAATTGCCTCGTCTGTAAATAATTTAGTGATTTTTTTTAAGGATATATAGATGTAAAATCACATACGTCTGAAGTTTTCTAATGTCACAAAAATTATGTTTTTTTCTTAAACATTTAATCATCGACTGGCAAAATCTGGGCAGGAGATTCAGACAATGAACCCTTAATGGGAGGGTGGGGGGGGGTGGGGGGGGGGGTGTTGCAGGGAGGGCGGAATAATGGTAGATTTAAAATTATAGATTGAAAGGAAAACTGCAGAATAAATTGTGAGCCCATTGACAGCTTGGGTTCCTGTATTGTACAAAATACATTGCCTGTTGATAAAGGAGCCCAAACTAATTCAGGCCAGGGTTCTGTACTATTTTATTGTCTTCAATTTCTTATTCATCATTTTGAAAAAAAAATCGAATATAACTAAGTCTATATAAGTTTCCAGTCTACTTAACTCATTATGGCCTCTCTGTCTTTCTGCCACCGATACTTTCACTGCAAACTCTGGTGTCTTATGTCCTTTTACACTTTTTATCTTCTCTGACAATTACTTTTTGACATGTTTTCCATTTTACACTCTTGCAAATCACTTGGAATATCTTATTCCCTCAAGGCAATCACCTTTGAGAACAATTTCAGCCATTACTTCAGTTGTGTTTCAATTCTGTAAAACAAATTGGTAAAATAATACGATTTGATTTAACATGACCATTTGGATGTGCGTAATTATAATTATTAATAAAGTCTAATTAATTTCTACTGAATCCTTGTTATCTTTTGCTCTCAGTATAGGCAAGTTAGTATTATCCCTGTATCAGTTCTGCCCAACCTTTGAACCTCTCTAAGCTTACACTATACAGCCTCACCAATGTACGGTACATTTCCAACTCGGAGTCAATTCCTAGGGCACGTTTCAATAATTTTTTGACCTACAGTGTTCTCTGAACTTTAAAAATTACTCTGTCCAACCTCCGTAGACCATTTCTTTCACTTTCA